GGGGGGGTTGGTTGAATTTCACTTGCGAATATACAGGGAACTGCGGTTGCAATGGGGGGGGGGGGTACTCTTGTTTTGCATGCCTGAGCTGTTAGACCATTGAGCACGCGTCCTCGAGAGGACGAGGGCAGTCAATAGTGCATCTGTTGCTGTTGTTGTTGTTGTCTTGAAATGTGTAGCCGTTCCGGTGTCTGCTCACACCAGATGCCTTGCGATAGCCGTATGACGCGGGCGCCTTCCGTGGTGAAAGGCAACTACCCCCATAAAGGGACGTTTCTAGAAATCAAAACAACGCTTTGTACGTTCCCATTCAACCATGCTGATGACAATTCCCGCGAACTCGATGCTGGTCCGTTTTTTTTTTTTTTTGTCTTCTAGAATTTGAAGAATGATACATATATATTCAACCTTGTTGATGACAACCCCCACGATCTCGATGCTGCCCCCCCCCCCCATGTTTGTTTTCGAAAGGAGGCCTTGAAGAAGGTATCCTTCTGTCGCAGGGAGGAGCAGTGGCTGGAGCTGCAAAGGGAGGCCGTGAAGGAGAGGATGGACGAGGCAGAGGAAGACGATCAGATGGCCCTAACGGAGCACCAGACGAAGGTATACATAAGAAGAAAAGACGCATAAGGTGGGAAGAAAGTGAGATGGCCCTTGCGGAGGGAGCACCAGACGAAGACAAAAAAAATATCCTGTTTCTATTGACAAATTGTTTGTTTCTTTGAAACACAATTTGTTATTGTTTGTCTCTATTGACACACAATTGGTTTTGTTTGTTTCTATTGACAAACAATTTGTTTGCTTGTCTCGATTGAAACACAATTTGTTTTTTTTGTGTCTATTGACATACAATTTGTTTCCCTTAATACTGTACCAGCGTATAAGGTAAGGTAGGGCAAAAAACACACCGAAATGCTCCGGCTGACACGATGGTAAAAACGGATCGTTCTTGAAGCACGACAACAACGATGACAACAGGAGCAACAGCAAACGGGCATAGAAGTTGCTCAGCACAGACCGGAACGATTACGATTTGTATTGTCAACAACGATAACAACAACAACAACAACAACAACAACAACAACAACAACAACAACAGCAACAGCAACAACAAACATAGAAGTTGCTCAGCATAGACCGGAACAATTTTGATTGACAACAACGACAACAACAACGGCAACAACAACAACAACAACAACAACAACAACAACGGTCGGTATGTGTTAGGTCGAGACCACGAAGGATGAAGTGCAGACCGCCGCGGATGCTGTCGAAGACGCCACTAACGCTGTCATCAGTGACCACCTCAACTCGGCCGGGTCTAAAGAAGACGCCCTTCGGTCCCTGGTCTCTTCCCTGCAGCAGGTCAGTCAGCGTTAATACTGTGTTCGTTAGAAAGTGAGTGCAGCTTGACTTTTTCGAAGCCCTATATATCTTGTTCATGTATTGCTTGCCTTTTCTGAGTGAAGTGAAGAAGCGTTGTTAAGCACATTCCAGCATAGCGATCGATGGTGCAGTGGTTGGGCTGTTGCCTGCAGCAGGTCAGTCAGCGTCAAAACTTTGTTCGTTAAACGCAACTTGACTTTTTCGAGGCGAAGAAAAGTCAAGCTCTACATACTTCTGTCCATGTTCTGCTTGCCTTTTTCGAAGCGAAGAAAAGTCAAGCTCTATATTTTTTTGTTCATGCGCCGCTTGCCTTTTCTGAGTGACGAAGCGTTTCAGCATAGCGATCGATGGTGCAATCGTTGGGCTGTTGCCTGCAGCAGGTCAGTCAGCCTTTTTTTGTTTATTTTTCGTATGCTGCTTGTCTTTTTCGAAGCAAAGGAGCCAAGCACGTTCCTGCACAGCCCTCGAAAGTAACGTCATCGGCACTGTCACGCCCACAGCCAACAATCCAACACATCCACAACACATCCGCAACCATGACCACCACGACAACAACCATCGCAACATGTTACCGGCTCGCCAACCAACAACACTATTAATACTAGTGGTAAATCCCCAACACCAACAAGCAACAAGCAACAATAACACAACTATGCACCTACCACACCCGGCCGGTGGTTACCCTAGAGGCAAGGGCACCACCATCGCAACATGTACCGGCTCGCCAACCAACAACAACACAACAATTCACCTATCACACCCGACCGTTCGTTACCCCAGAGGCAAGGCCAGCTGGGGGGTTGCGACCCGCTGGCGGCGCGGCAGAGAGCCATGAGCGTCAAAGACGCCGCCGAGGCCAAGCTCAAGAAGCAGAAGACGCAGCTGGTCGTTGTCGAGCACGCCACCAGGATCTGCTCGTTACTTTGCAACGAGATGTGTGAGTACAGGCATATCGCTTAGTTTTTTTTTTTTTTTCTTAATAAAATGACACAACGAACCCATCTCTATCTATATAGAAAGATGGATCTTTTTTTCGGAGGGGCGGGGCGGCACGTGACGCGGCAGCGTTTATCTCAAGAACATGGTAGATACTTTGTGTTGCCGTTTGGAGAATTTTCTTTTTTCATTCTTCTTTTTCTTTTGATATCGAGACGTGTGTACCCTTTTTGGGTAGTTGGCCTGTGACCACGGAGCAGCCGCCCGCTTTAGTTGGACCGGCACGGATATTAGAAGGTACAGTACTGAGTGGAGGCCGAAACGGCTTTTCATGTGAAGACAACAACGACAGCACAACATCAACAACCTCAACCTCAACGACGTAGCTATGGCACGACAACAAGTTCTTCTTACTATTTTTTTTTTTGAGTGTTTCCTGTCCATCTCGTTGTTCGTGATTTCGTTTTGACAACAGTCGGCGATCTGATAGACGTCATCGGCGAAGTCCAGGCAGACGCCCGCCAAAGGAAATTCAACCGGCAACAGCACGTGAAGGTAAGCGTCGCCCCCAACCTTGCTCTCTCTCATCACGTCTCCATGTTTGGCCTATCACGTCAAGCCACACACCACTGCATTGCTTGTGTTTCGGCAATGGACCTAAGGGTCTATTCGGATACAATGTATATTTTTTTTGCAATGGTCCTATATTTCTAGCCGGAGTTGTGCTTGAGTTTCAGCAATGGTCCTATATTTCTAGCCGGAGTTGTGCTTGAGTTTCAGCAATGGTCCTATATTTCTAGCCGGAGTTGTGCTTGAGTTTCAGCAATGGTCCTATATTTCTAGCCGGAGTTGTGCTTCAGTTTCGGCAATGGTCCTATGTTTCTAGCCGGAGTTGTGCTTGAGTTTCGGCAATGGTCCTATATTTCTAGCCGGAGTTGTGCTTGAGTTTCGGCAATGGTCCTATATTTCTAGCCGGAGTTGTGCTTCAGTTTCGGCAATGGTCCTATATTTCTAGCCGGAGTTGTGCTTGAGTTTCGGCAATGGTCCCATATTTCTAGCCGGAGTTGTGCTTCAGTTTCGGCAATGGTCCTATATTTCTAGCCGGAGTTGTGCTTCAGTTTCGGCAATGGTCCTATATTTCTAGCCGGAGTTGTGCTTCAGTTTCAGCAATGGTCCCATATTTCTAGCCGGAGTTGTGCTTCAGTTTCGGCAATGGTCCTATATTTCTAGCCGGAGTTGTGCTTCAGTTTCAGCAATGGTCCTATATTTCTAGCCGGAGTTGTGCTTCAGTTTCGGCAATGGTCCTATATTTCTAGCCGGAGTTGTGCTTGAGTTTCGGCAATGGTCCCATATTTCTAGCCGGAGTTGTGCTTGAGTTTCGGCAATGGTCCTATATTTCTAGCCGGAGTTGTGCTTCAGTTTCGGCAATGGTCCTATATTTCTAGCCGGAGTTGTGCTTCAGTTTCGGCAATGGTCCCATATTTCTAGCCGGAGTTGTGCTTCAGTTTCGGCAATGGTCCTATATTTCTAGCCGGAGTTGTGCTTCAGTTTCGGCAATGGTCCTATATTTCTAGCCGGAGTTGTGCTTCAGTTTCGGCAATGGTCCTATATTTCTAGCCGGAGTTGTGCTTCAGTTTCGGCAATGGTCCTATATTTCTAGCCGGAGTTGTGCTTCAGTTTCGGCAATGGTCCTATATTTCTAGCCGGAGTTGTGCTTCAGTTTCGGCAATGGTCCCATATTTCTAGCCGGAGTTGTGCTTCAGTTTCGGCAATGGTCCTATATTTCTAGCCGGAGTTGTGCTTGAGTTTCGGCAATGGTCCTATATTTCTAGCCGGAGTTGTGCTTCAGTTTCAGCAATGGTCCCATATTTCTAGCCGGAGTTGTGCTTCAGTTTCGGCAATGGTCCTATATTTCTAGCCGGAGTTGTGCTTAAGTTTCGGCAATGGTCCTATATTTCTAGCCGGAGTTGTGAAACGGTTTC